TCTGGTTGTCCCATATATCTTTTTTTTCTTTAATTTGACCAGGATGGGGATGTGAGAAGGCAAGTCACCAGGTGCAGGGATTGAACCTTGGTCAGCTATGTGGGAGTTCAACACCTTAACCACCATGACACCTGCCACCCCTCCCCCCAATAACTTTCTTTTATAAAAATTCAAAAACTGGGGGTCAGCAGTTAGTGTAATGGCTATGTTGCTGGACTCTCATGTAGTCAGCCATGGTTCAAGTCCTGGACCTGGTGGCTTAAACTCACACCTGGCGCGTGTGCGTGCGTGCCCAAGATCCCAAGAGGAGAACAGAGGAGAAGGGATTGTGGTGTGATCATCCCCCCTGGTGGGTGGTTTCTCGCTTTCTGTCTCTCTGAGGTCTCTGTCTTTCTGGCGAGCCATGCACCCTATAGCAAAAACCTCTCAAAAAAAAAAAAATCAAAAACTGATCCTTGGGACCACCAGTTAGCGTAATGGCTATGTTGCTGGACTCCCATGTGGTTGACCATGGTTCAAGTCCCGGACCTGGTGGCTTAAACTCACACCTGGCGCGTGTGCGTGCGTGCCCAAGATCCCAAGAGGAGAACAGAGGAGAAGGGATTGTGGCATGGCTATCCCCCCTGGGGGGTGATTTCTCACTTTCTGTCTCTCTGTCTCTCTCTCTTTCTGGCGAGCGCACGCACCCTATAGCAAAAACCTCCTCTTTAAAAAACAAACAAACAAACAAACAAAAAACCCTGATCTTCAGCTTTACATGGAAATACAAAGAACCAAGGAGAGCTATGGTATCTTGAAGAAAAACAAAGCTAGACAACTTACACTACCATACGCCTACCAAGACCTAAGTAATAATTAAGCCAGTTATATTAGTACAAGCATAGATAAATAAGCACATGGTACAGAATACAAAGTCCAAAAGCAGGGTCCATAAACATTCACCAATTTATGGCACAGGTAACACTGCAGGTCAGCGGGAAAATGATTATTTTTTTTTTAAAGAGTTTTTTTTTCCATAGGGCACATGCGTTCCCCAGAGAAAGAGAGAGGGACAGAGACAGTGAGAGGGAAAGTGAGGAATCACCCCCCGCAAGGGAGGATAGCATGCCACAATCTCTTCTCCTCCATTCTCTTCCTGGGGTCCTGGGCATGTACGCATATGTGCCCAGCATGATTTTCAAGCCACTACTCAGACTCGAACTGGTGGCCGGTCATGTGGGAGTCCAGTGAAGCAACCACTATGCCATCTGCTGGCCTCAATGATTCTTTTTTTGGAGAGATTTTTGGGTGCGTGTGCTCGCCAGACAAGCAGAGAGAGACAGAGAGACAGAAAGCAAGAAATCACCCTCCAGGGGGGATGGACACGCCGCAATCCCTTCTCCTCCATTCTCTTCCTGGGGTCCTGGGCATGTACGCATATGTGCCCAGCATGATTTTCAAGCCACTACTCAGACTCGAACTGGTGGCCGGTCATGTGGGAGTCCAGTGAAGCAACCACTATGCCATCTGCTGGTCCCCATCTCTTGTTTTTTTCAAACAAAGTCTCACTATGTCAAGATTCTTATGCCTCAGCCTCCCAAGTCGCTGGACCTACAGGCCCACACCACCATTTCCAGCTTCTAGGATGAGCCAGGGATCAAACTTGGCTGCCCAAGCAGCTTCAGCATGCAGAATAGCAGCGTGTGCTACTGAAACTGGACTGTCACTTCTAAGAAGTGGGAGCCTATTTCCTCCCTTTGAATCTGGGCAGATTTGTGATCGTGTTGACCATGAAGCTGTAAGATTTCTGAAGTTGGATCCTGAAACATCATGTAGCTTTTGCTTTTGAATACTTGCTCTCTGGACATTACCTCAAAGGATGCTCATTCCTGGAGCCCAGCTCAAAGCAGTATGAGAAATCAAAATCAGAGCAGCTTAAAGCGACCAGAATGTATTATCTCACAGATTCTGTGGGTCAGGAGATCAGGAATCCAGCCACTGAGCCAGGTACTCTGGCTTACGGTCTCTCTCAAGTCTGCAATCCAGCTGTCCTGGGCTGCAGTCACCGAATCCACTTTCCAGCTCACTCACTCAGGCAGTTGCTGGTCTCAGGTCCTTACTGGCCACTGGCAGGAGACATCAGTTCCTTGCCACACGGGCTTCTCCATAGTGCCAATCCCAACATGGCAGCTTTCCTTCCTCCAGAGTGAGATGCCCTAGACAGAGAGATAGAGAGGGAGGGAAAGTGAAAAAGCACTTTATGGAGACTGGTCATGCCACAACCCCTTCTCCTCCATGTCTCCTTTCAGGATTTTGGGCACCCATACATAGATATGACTGGTGTGTTTTTCAAGCTACTGAGTCCAGGACTGGAACAGTCTGCTCAGCCATGTAGGATCCACCTATCTTAATAACCACACCACTGGTTGGCCCCAAAATTAACCATTTGAAGCTGAATAATTCAGTGGCATTCAGTTCATTCAGAATAGTGTATTTTGCAATCATCACCTCTATTTAGTTCCGAAGCATTTTCACCACTCTTACAAAGCTCCATATCTATCATGTAGTTACTCTCTGCCTCTCTCTGTTCCTAGTGTGTTTTCTAAGCTGTGAGGATAGCATTCTAACTGCATGCTCAGCCATATGCGATCCAGCTCTCCTAACCAGCAGGCCATAGATCTAGCCCTTGTTGAGGATTTTTTAATGTATATTCATAAGGGATATTGGCCTGTAATTATTTTTAGAATTATTTATTCATTTAATTCCATTTGTTATTATTATTTTTTAATTTGACCAGAGAGAGACAGAGAGAAAGATAGTAAGGGAAAGGGAGAAAACAAGCTGCCAGGTCTGGGACTCAAATTGTGGTTGGCCATGTGGGAATCCAGTGCCTTTAACCACCACACCATCTGCCGGCCTCCGGCCTATAATTTTTATCTTTTATTAAAAAAAAAAATTATGGGGCCAGCAGATGACACAACGGTTATATCACTGGACTCCCACATAGTTGACAGTGGTTCAAGTTCCAGACCCAGTGGCCTAAAACTCACACCAGATACATGTGCGTGCATGCCCAAAATAACTGAGAGGAGAATGCAGGATAAGGGATTGCAATGTGGCCATCCCCGCTTGGGGGGATTTTTCACTTTCTGTCTCTTTGTCTCTCTGGCAAGCACATGTACCATATAGCAAAAAATAATTGAAAAAATTTTTCTTTTTATTTGCTATGGTGTTCACTGGAGACAACAGAGAGGGGAAGTGAGAATGCATTCCCCAAAGGGGATGACCATGTCGCAATCTCTTCTCTACATTCTCCTCTCAGGATTTTGGACACATGCACGCACACACGTCTGGTCAGCTTTTCAAGCTACTGGTCCAGGTCTCGGACTGTGCAGTTGACCATGTGGAATCCAGCCACCGTAACTAACATTCCACTGGCTGGGATGATCATTTTATTCCTTTGTGATGTCTTTCTCTAGATTTTGATATCAGGGTTATGCTAGCACGGAATGAATTAGGTTTCTCCTTTCTCTTCTTTTTATGTTTTTTGTTTGTTTTTGTTTTTAGAAGAGGTTTTATTTATTTATTTATTATTATTATTATTATTATTATT